TAGACTTATCTATAGCCAAGCCCCGTGGCACTTTATGTTGAAAATTGCAAAGCACTTTATGTTGAAAAACTTATATTCTTGTTCGCAAAAACGTGTACCAGACCTTAATTGCATTGAGTATGACTATGTTGCCACAGAGCTATTTTATACAGTGCAATTACCGATCTATTATTTAATTCGGTTTTTTTTTCAATTTTGAGTAATCGCTTTTAAAACCGATTTATATATATATATATATATATATATATATATATATATATATATATATATATATATATATATATATATATATATATATATATATCCTTATAGCGAGACGTAATTTATGGACGACCCCAATCTGGAAAGTTTAAATAAAAAGGTAACTATGGTAACCACCGCATGTAATACAACCGGAGAATAAAATATAATATGTACTTCAAAAAAGTAACACATATAAATTCAAGCAAATTTTCTCAATAAAAAACCAGAAAAATCTTTAAATGCTGATATTTACCATGTAAAATAATCTATTAGAAAATACAATGCTATCCTAAACGATATTGAGAAATGGTAGTTGACAAATGTTTTTGAGCATAAAGTGTGTGTGTGTGTGTGTGTGTGTGCGTGCGTGTCTGTGCTCTAGGTAACCGCAATTATAAAAAGTATACTGGAAAATTAAAAAAAAGACTATCACATAAATAAAAATAGAAACTAAAACGGGTACTTTAATGTATTGTTTTACAAAAAGAGTCTACATCAAAAACAAATATAGAAATGTTTAAGAGTATGGTGTTAGTGCTTCAATCTACACATTGTAAACTCAATCTCATGAAGTCGATAAAAGTTCATAAAAGTATGATTTAGAAATTACATACTAAACTGCACTCTTAAATTATGCATCAAAAATAAAATTGTTATGAAAATTTCAGAGCTCTAGCTACCCTACAACTATTTGTTGCAAATCAAATTGAACATATGGTTGCTTATAAAAAGATATTTCAAAGATCTTTGATTCATCTTAAATCATTTGCTATACAATTGAAAAAGCTGGCTTAAATATGATTAAATAAGTTAAACTTGATTATCAATGGTTTTTTGTATAAGATACTTTAATGAATTCATAAATGGCTGGTTAAAACAATGTCTTATCTAACAATTGTCTTGTCAAATTACAGTTGAAAATAAATAGGTATAAAAGTTTTTAAAAGTAAATGTAATTTTATCAAAAAAAAATATAAATATAAGTAGTAATCCATTAGTTATTTTCGCACTTTTTACAACCCTTCCTCCCTGTCAAGTCAACAATTTATTTAAAAGCTTCCTGTGATCTTCTTAATAAAATAACGCAATACAAATTCAATGTCTTTTTCATTGACTAGTTATTAATGCAAAACTATTACTTTTTTATCTAAAGGTTTGTTTTAAACTCTTCTCTCCCACATGTCCATAGTTATCAAACAAATAGTTATCAAAAAAATTTTCTTATTCCCTTATTTTGCTGACATAACTAATGGGTAATTCCTGAGTTATTTTAATTTTAAAATATTATTCTTTGCTCTATTAGATTTTACATTACATAAAATAATTAAGGAGATGAATTTAGTTTTGAAAGGCATAATTATGTTTGTCTTCACAATTGACACTTGGCTTTATTTGCCAACAGTTAAAGCCAAGGTTCAAATTTTTTATTATCACACCTAACTCATATAAGTCATTGTAATTTAACAAACAAGTAATATGTGTCATAAAATATGGTAGTGGTGCATAAATACAATGCCTGGTAATAATGCCAGGAATTTGATGGGGTTCAACATGTCCTTTTCCCCGATAGTCTTGTTTGTCAAGGTTTTATTTGTTAAATTCAAACTGTAACAACATAAAAAGATTAAAATTAATGGAACTTTTATTTATCAAAATTTGCATAATTCAATTATGTTTAAATTATCATATTCAATTATATTTAAATAACTAATTATTAATGCATATTTGATTAATCAATATGTTCTGACAAAAGATCTTACAACCAAGGTCATTTATAAATACAGGGCGGTCCAAAAATATTAAGTTTAAAAATGCAATCCTCCACAAGGCTATCCTTATTCCATATGCTATTACTGATTTAATTCCAAAATTTGAATAAAATTAAGTAATATTTAGAGGTAGCAACTTTATAAGAATTCAATATTGAAAATTCACAAAATTTTCCTTATTGATTTTTGACAATGTAAGTTGTTGTTCTTAATACTTCATTATACTTCATTGTTTCTTAAGACTAAACAAACTTTAAAAACAAGCTTTAGCTTGATAATATAATCATAAAGCAATATTGAACAATAGTTTCTTAAAAGTTTAGAAGTGTTCTTAGTGAAACTTAAAAGCTGCTTTCGTCGGAACAGGAAACTCTTTCCGGTGGCTGGACACAAATTGCAACAGATACTGTTTCTGAGTTGAGTCTGCAATGGTGCACGATAGTCGAAATCTTTGAAGTCCAAACATTTGCGTGGATTTACATTTGGTGGCAGAAAAAAGTTGACAACCATAGAAGCTTTGGTATCATCATCAACGTGTTCATCAAAGAAAGCGAGAGCAACATGTGTCTTCGAAAAATACCACAAGTGCCAACCTAATGCCTTGATAGCAGACTCTCTGAATTTGATATTTAGGTACTTGTGTAGTAGAATTAGGAGATTCATATCATTGAAAGAAGCTCTTGATGCAAGAGGAACTCCATGTCAATAGCGGGCATAGACCAGTGATACAAAAAGTGAAATGGACTTGATTCCAGCTATCTCTTTTGCATTAAGTTTGGCCCGATCTTTAACTAGAAAAATCTTGATAGAATAGATGGCTTTAGCCATCCATCTGGCATGATGCACTGCTTCGGGTGCATGAAAACTAAATGTGCCTTTGTCTCCAAGGAAAACATAACATAGCTGTAGTAGCTTCTTGTAGTCATAACGGGGAAGTTCTGCATGTATCACATCCCTGAAAAATGATATCATATCTGCACGAAGACCAATGGACATACCTTCAAAGAGGATGTCAGGTGCAGACTTAAAATCATCCTTGTTGATGAATGGCCACATAGTTTGAAATCATTTAAATAGACCTATTTCAGGTCCACTGGATGGTCTAAGAACAGCAGAGAATACATTGGCAAGCACGATCTCAAATACGTGATGGCGACAAGCAATCCATACAAGCAAGCGCTTGTGCCACTGCCCCAACAACAAACATGGGACCTTGATCAGGAAGGTTGACTGGGTCAAGTGCAGATGCTACTTCATTCGTGATGATGGATTTTTTTTAACTTTATTGAAGCTGGTGTAGAATTGGTTGCTGTTGATAGGATGATATGATAGAACTTTCTGCAGAACTTTCTGCAGTCTGATATGATAGAACTTTCTCCAATCTAGCAGCTTCTAGTGAAATTTTTCTTCTTTTACAGGACTATTTATTGGCTAATGGCTGGTCAATTCCAGCCATGCTGGCTTGAGGGATCTTTTCGTTGCATTTGTAAGAACTGCTTGTCCTCTTCATTCAACTCATTGGTCATGAGTTGCACGGCATCCTTGCAGGAGATATCAAACAGTTCTTTAAGATCAGTTTTAAACTTCCTCAGAAGCGGCTACCATCTTTCTGCCTTAGTCGATGTTTGTTCAATAAACAGTATTTATCGTATAATTTGCAAAGTTTCCACACTCCAGAGTCAATACGTTGTGTAGGAATCCTAGCCTTCATCCAAATTTTTAAAGTCGCATCCATAGCCAGTTTTGAACTTCTAGCAATTGTTAGTCCATTTTCAATGTGGTGGAACATAAAATTTTTCAAGACTGCACCATTTGTCGGCAATTCAGAACCAAGAATTTCCTCTTCACACTTACCAATCAGCCAAACTTGTGGTGAACTTCTGGTCATAGGCTGCATCATTGTTATCTATGATATAAAATAATTATCACAGAAGTTTTGTAAAGTACTGTAATTCATTAAAACAGCTTTAAATTGTTTAACACAAATATTAATACTGTTTATAAATTCATCAATGGTCTAATAATCGCCAATCGCCAAAAAGCAACAATGTACTTAGTTCCTAAAAATTATTGGTCTTAGTTCATACACCGCTTACTTAAGACCAATAGATTAATAAAATAATACATAAATAAAATTGTAGATGCTATACACTATTTTAATCAGTTTTTACGTAGCGAGAACCCTGTCATGAACTTAAAATAAAAATTGTTCTTTTGGTTGCTACCTCTAAATATGTTCTAAATTAACCAAAATTTGTCCTGAACATTCCTATTACCAAATGAAATGAAGGGAACCTTGTGGAGCAGCATTTTGTTAACATTTATTTTTTATCATTGTATCGTGGACCACCCTAATAAATACTTTAAATTATTTTAACGTAAATACACCATTTATATATAAAAATATATTAATGGTGTTAAATAATATTAATTGCAGATAATAAAAATAATAATAAATTGGCAAAAGCAATAATAACAAAAATAAGATTATATAATATTAATAACAAATCAATATCAATTTAAAAACGACAATTG